AGATAGATAGATAGATAGATAGATAGATAGATGGATGGATGGATGGATGGATGGATGGATGGATGGATGGATGGATGGATGGATGGATGGATGGATGGATGGATGGATAAATATAGAGATAGATAGATAGATAGATAGATAGATAGATAGATAGATAGATAGATAGATAGATAGATAGATAGATAGATAGATAGATAGATAGGTGGATGGGTGGATGGATGGATATAGAGATAGATAGATAGATAGATAGATAGATAGATAGATAGATAGATAGATAGATAGATAGATAGATAGATAGATAGATGGATAGATGGATAGATAGATGGATAGATAGAGATAGATAGAGAGATAGATAGGCACAGAGATATAGATAGAGAGGCAGATATAGACAGACAGACACATATAGAAAGACAGACAGACAGATCCAAGCTCTACCCATTTTCCGTGGGCAGCGTATCTTTGGGGAATTTGGATTGTACCATTGTGGAAGCCACTTTGGCATGTTTTAAAATCATACCTTGTAGTCACCTCTAATAAAATTCTTTGATTTATTTCAAGAATCATCAAGAAAAGCGCATCGGAGCCTTGCTACAGCATACTTACAGATACGTCTGCTTGAACAAAAGATTGGAAGGCTTTTCATTAACATGGTAGAGAGGGAATGGGTCAAATCCACCAATGAAATCAACTGAAAGAAAAAAAAAATCCACAACACAAGCAATAACAATGGAACAATTGAAACATAATGAGAGGAAGGTGAGGAGGACAGCACATAAGAGGATGCAAAGACGTGGGTGTAAAACACAAAGGAAAATGAAACCAAAGGTGCAAAATAAAAGGGCATAAACTCGTCTAAGCATGCAAATGTCCCGTTGATTTCAGCAGGAGAATCAAACACATGCTTAACTGGTCTACATTTTTATAATTAGAACATGATAGTGCTAGGAGGTTTCCCAAATTGTTTACAAGCAAACAATATCTGCTTCTATAAAATGAAACACTGCAGATACAGACTTTAGCCATAGGATGCTACTCAACCTATTTAACTAACAGGAAAAAAAGGGATGGAAGGGACCTTGGAGGTCTTCTAGTCCAACCCCCTTCTCAGACAGAAGACCCTATACCATTTCAGACAAATGGCTGTCCAGTCTCTTCTTAAAAACCTCCAATTTTAGAGCACCCACAACTTCTGGAGGCAAACCGTTCCACTGGTCATTGTTCTCACTGTCAGGAAATTCCTCTTTAGTTCTAGGTCGCTTCTCTCCTTGATTAGTTTCCATCCGTTGCTCCAAACTCCTAGCAGATTCTATTCTATTCTATTCTATTCTATTCTAGTCTAGTCTAGTCTAGTCTAGTCTAGTCTAGTCTAGTCTAGTCTAGTCTGGTCTATTCCTTATTCTATTCTATTCTATTCTATTCTATTCTATTCTATTCTATTCTATTCTATTCTATTCTATTCTAGTCTAGTCTAGTCTAGTCTAGTCTAGTCTAGTCTATTCCTTATTCTATTCTATTCCTTATTCTATTCTATTCTAATTCTATTCTATTCTATTCTACAAGCTGTTTATTCTACAGTCTTTCTATTCTATTCTATTCTATTCTATTCTATTCTATTCTATTCTATTCTATTCTATTCTGTTCATAAGATATTGTCAACAGCCCATCTCAATAAAAGTAGTCTCCTGGTGGAGTTGATTTCCTGGTGTTGACATCACCTCACAGGGTGCCTCTCTGTCTCCCCTGATTCATGTCAAAGAAACAATTTCAAAGAATTGCAGGGAAAACAAACACCACCCATTAGTTCTGGTCAACGGAAAACCTTGTCATTCCGAGATTGAAATATCGGTGGTTTTTAAGTATTAATTACCGGGATTGGCATTGGGGACTTGGCACCTTGCAGGATGACAGCAGAGGAAACGGCTTGAAATTAGCTATGGGTTTCTTGATAAATCGCCCCTGCATCATTGCTTTCTCTTTGAAGTTATTGAGAAAAACAGATTTTTTCCCCCCCTCCAACATGGATGCCTTCTTTTCTTTCCATTTNCCTCCCTCCCTGCTTTCTTTCCTTCCTTCCTTCCTCCCTCCCTCTCCCTCCTTTCCCACCCACTTTCCTTCTTTCCTCCCTCCCTGCTTTCCTCCCTCCCTCCCTCCCCTCCCCTCCCCTCCCTTTCCTTTTTTCTTTCTCCAAATCCCACACTGCTTGAGGTCTGTCAAATTAGCTCACCCTGTTCATTCTCTCGTACATTAAGCGCAGGGCCTAGAGGGAATGCAACAGGAATGCAATTCAAGTGCCAAAAGGCTGACTGGCTTTGCATTCCACCCAGCAAATTCAGAAGGGGGGGGGGAGAGCTGGGTTACAGCAATATCCAGCATTCTCCCTTTATTTATTTATTAATTAGATTAATAAATTACCCCAGCAGCATTAACAGGGTCCCTAAAAATTTGGATGGTGATTTCTCTCTTCTTATACCGTGTTGCAAAGTGAACAGACAACATTAGGAACCGTACTTTTGCCTAATTTTTTCCCCCTTTTTTTCAGTATTCTAGACATATTTTTATTTATTATATCTTTATCCTGCCTGTATTACTTTATAATTACTTCCCCCTCCTCTTTTCCCCACAAGATCCCTGTGAAGCAGGTTGGGCTGAGAATGAGTGACTGGGCCCAGCATCTCATAGCTAAGGCGGGACTAGGATTCACTGTCTCCTGTTGATTTGTCCAAAGTCATCTGACCAGCTTTCATGGCTAAGGCAGGACTAGAACTCACAGTCTCCTGGTGACTGGCACAAAGTCACCCAGCTGGCTTTCATGCCTAAGGCAGGACTAGAACTCACTGTCTCCTGGTTTTTAGACCAGCACATTCACCCCTACACCAAACTGACTCTATATCTTCTGCCCATTATGCATCTCACTTATCACATTCTTACAGTGCACCCATGACCATGATTTACTGATTTTTATTTATTTCTAAACCTTCATTTGAGCAGGTGAGAGAATCTATGAAACCTACTAATGTTTCCTTTAGCTACTTTGAGTTTGGTAAGGCAAAATTAAAATGAATCTGCAAGTTTTTTTTCTCAGGCCCAATACCAGATGAATGGCTAGAATCACAGATTGGGAAACATCTAATCCAATCCCTTGGTCTGTGCAGGGTTTTCAAGGTCAGAAAAAATGGCGAAACCAAGGAAATTAGTTAGGGAATCTTTGTGATCATAACATTCAGAGGTGGCTTCGGGTGGAAGTCAAGATGGCAGCCACAAGGGTCAATCCAAGCTCTACCCATTTAAAAATGTGATAGATAGATGATAGATA